ATAAGGTAGATTTATAGCCCTAGAAAAATCACTATAAAATAAAAAGAATAAAAAGACATATAGTTAAGAATCCAGTAGAGGAAGTGGATGAAAATACAAAAAATATTTTATTTATCTGAAAGGAAATGAAAAGAGCAGCAAAGAAACAAAAAAGAAGAGACAAATGAAAAACATAGCAAAATGATAGTCTTCAACCTAATCATGCCAAAAATTACATTAAATATAAGTGCACTGAATACTCCAACTAAAAGGAAGAGATTGTTAGTTTGGATAGAAAGCAGGACTCAACCATATCCTATCTACAAGAAACAGTCCTTAAATATAAAGACATACATAAATTGAAAGTATCAGATACAAAGGCAAACCAGAGGTAAATGAAACTGTACCAAAACTGCAACCCAGTCTCAGCCCAGTTCAGTTCCTATTTACTATTTTAAAAAATACATTCCCAGGGCTGTATTGCTGGCTAAAGAAAAGGTAGACCTCTCAGGGGAGGCTCTTTGGTTATTTTATATGCAATTTCTGTCATTTAGTCAAAAATCAATAGACATACAAGAAAAGAGGATCATGTGACTGACAGACATAAAGAAAATGGCAGACCACAGAAGCAGCCCCAAAGGTAGTTCTGGAAGGAAAGATGAGAACTTTAAAATAACTGATTATTCTGTTCTGAAAAATATAGGAGATAGACAAAATAGATTAAAAGACAAAAAATAAACCCTCACTGAAATAGTAGAATTAATAAAGAGAAGCACACACACATTCTATAAGAAAAAACCAAAATATCAGAAATTAAGAATTCAGTGGATAGGTTTAATAACAAATTATATACACTACAAGGCAAGATTAATAAAATGAAAGACAGATCAATATACAATATTCAGACAGAAGCCTAGAAAGGAAAATAGAATCTGTAAAACATATCAGTGCATATTATAATTTTATTTCTTCCTGGGAGCTCAATTATGGTAGAACTGTAACCCTTAGCCATGTTGCTTGCCTTGAAGTATTTGATAACATTTGGGCTCATGGCATAATATCAAATAGATTATACTAAATGATATTGCTGAATAGAATTTAATAATTAAATTATAACAGAAAGCGAATGTTTGGCCTCAAGTGTGACATGGTCAGGTAGCTAATTAATGTCTTAGTCTGACCCTTCTCCGGGCTTTTTGGCAGAAAATTAAAATGGCTTGCACTGGTCCCAGAAGATACACAAAGGCACTGAGGTGGGTTTGGAGAAACATGGCAAAAGTACGGCAATGTCCTCTGATAGTCTCCTTCCTCACAGAGACAGCTCCAACCCCATGAGTCATAAGCTTGGCTGTTAACCCCAAAGAGTTAAAAGAACAAAAACTTGGCCTGTACTGAAAGGAAATTCTGTGAACATTTCTGTCAACATTTACACTCTCATTGAGGCAGTACTGGGACGCAGCTTCCACATCTCTTTTGATCCCTTACCTGTGCCTTCCCAAAGGAGGAAGAGTAGACAAATCGGATTGGTGGGAACTAGATTAAGAGTGAAGGGGTCAAGGATATTTGATGGGTCAGAGATCTTCTTTACAGAATTTTTAAAATCACCTAATGGATCAAAGCAACAATAAGCAACTAATAAAACTAGAAATAAAGCTATAAAGGCAGAGGAAGATGAGGAACGTTATGACAGAAGGGTCAGAGCAATTCATCCTAAAACCCCACTCAATTGATAAGCACAGGGCAGTCAGACACTACTTATCTTCTGAGGTGGATTAATATTTATGTGAAAAGAAATAAAAGAAGAAATAAGAGAAGGAGGGAGAGAGGGAGGGAGGGAAGGAAAGAAGGAAGGGAAAGAATTTGCTCTAATCTAACCTCTGGCTTTACCTTCCAAATTGTAGTAAATATGAGAATTAGAGGAACATGTTAAGCAGTAAAATGGGATTAAAACAGCCTAACCCACAATGTGAAAAATTTTAAAGAACAATTGACTTGATTTGTTCAGTAAATAATGGGCAATAAATAAAGAGGAAGAGAACTCTAACAGATGAAAAGGAATTTAGGAGGCATAAGCAAATGCGCACATGAAGGCTGTCTGGATCTTGATATATATATATATATATAAAATGATTGGGTCTGGGTAGTTAATGTAACCACCACCTCATGCATTTATCATTTCTTTGTGGCAAACATTCAAAAGCCTCTCCTCTAGCTATTATAAAATATACAAAACTGTTAACCATAGTCACCCTACTGTGCAATAGAACACCAGAACTTATTCCTCCTATCTAATTGTAATTTCATACCCATTGGCCTCTCTCCATTTTACTTCCCCCTAACCCCAGTCGCTGGTAACCACTGTTCTACTCTCTGTCCCTATAATATTATTATTTATTTGGATTCCAAATATGAGTGAGATCACATGGTATTTGTCTTTCTGTGCCTCAAGCCTAGACTTTCTAAAGGGATGGCCACTTTTCAGTGCCAATCAATTGTGGCCTGGTGGGATCTTTCAAATTTTCTTTTCTTTTCTTTTTGCAGCTGGCCAGTATGTGGATCTGAATCCTTGACCTTGGTGTTATAACAACACACTCTAACCAAGGAGGCTAACTGGTCAGCCTGATCTTCCAATTTTTCAAGAGAATCGGGAAATCTGGATCTTTATGTGAAATCTCCTGGTTTTTAAATAAATACTGGCAGCTAATTCACAAAACACACTTGGCCAGTCTGCTGATCAGGATTTGTGACTTTGTGACTTGTCTTAGGAACACATTGAACTTTTCTCCCTCTGTACTTTCACTTTTGCTGTTACCACTGCCAAGAACACCTTCCCACTCATCTAGGTCTCTGGTATGAATAATATTAAGGAATCATTTTTTTATTTTGTTTTTGTATGTTTTGAGAGAGATCAGCATCGAAGCATTTATAGGTGAAACTATTTGTTGTCTAGACTTTGCTTTTAAATATTCTAGCAAAAAAAAAAATGTGAAAAGAGACAGATGAAACAAGAATGGTAGAACATTGACTATTGGTGACTTGGGTTCATGAGGTCACTTTGCTACTTTCTCTGATTTTGTGACTGTTTGAAAATTCATATGACATAAAGTTAAAAACAAAGTGGAGGAGTTACTGTGTCAAAAAGTTGGGAACCATTTTTTTCTGGATTCTCCATACTCAGGTACAGTGAGCCTGATTTGACCTTCCAGTCCTTAAGTGACAAGCAGATCAGGGCAGTGCCATGTCTGGCAGACAGAGCTCTGCTCTTTTGTTCTAATAGTACTTTCTCTGCCTATAGCTAGTGGCAGGAGGCAAGGTCATGCGGGTCCCATTCTAGTCCGGGAAGTATCATCAATCCCTTTTCTGGCCTCAGTTCAAAACTGCCTCCTCCAGCAAAATTAGCCTAGAACTCTTTACCTTGGGAAATAAAATTGACCCTTTGAATTCAATTTAGCTTGGATCTTTGTGATTATGTTCAATCGGCAGAACCCTGGAGGGCAGACAGTCATCTGCTCCTAACCTGTAACTACGGGAAGCAGGTCAGGTAATAGAATGACAGAAAAGCGGAGTCAAGGGAAGGCATTTTAAGGATAATGGAAAATTATGCATACTCCCAAGCTAAGGTCAATTATCCAAAGTAACAAAAAAGTTAAAAATTAGAGAAAGTGAGATTAAGCTTTGGAGCGAGGTCCCTAAGAGAGCACAATAAGAAAAATTCGTACAGAGCAATGATTTATTTTTCTGTGGATTGGTAGGAAAAGGGAAAAGAATAAAAGAAAACTACACACACAAGTTGAGATATACATGAAGGAGGTTGAGGTGGCTTTTCTCTGGTGGGTGACATCCTTGAAATAAGAAGAAATAGAGATGGAGAGAAAGGAAAGGAGTTTGTGCCCAGAGCTGCAAAAATAACAGCATCGGTATAAAGGTTAATCTGCTGCATGTTAGTGATGGCCCAGGGGCTGTGTTGGGCTGGACATTAGGGAGAGGAAGGAGGAAAAGCCAGAGATCTACCCAGGTTCCAAGTAAACCTCTGAATACTACTCCATGATGTGTAGCCAGCATGGATGGGCAAGTCGGAGTCCTCTGATAAAACAGCTCAATTCCTGTTTTATAGAAAGGCCCAGGAGAGGATGGTTCAGAAGGTGGTGGCTGGAGACAGTGCCACATCCAGAAAAGTTCATGTTCAGAGCCATTGGCTTTCCCCTCCTCACCCCTTCCTTGGCAGAAGTTCCTGCTGAACATTTTCACTTGGCTCTTAGTGTAATGTCCTAGGAGAGCCTGAAAGTTATGAGGAATTCCTATGGTACCTTTTCCTCTGTTTAAGTCATTTATTGCAGCCTTACTCTATAACTGATTCTTAAACTTATTTCTGTTCTCTAACTCTAGAGAAAATAAGTTTTACATAAATAGAACCAGTGGTAAAGCTGCATTCTCACAGAAAAAAATATGACTAGCCTTTTCAGTGATTTAAAATAAGTTTATTAATTGTATCAAAGCATTTACTAGCATTTTAAATATCCAGACCAGGTATTTTCTCAGATATTTACACTTACTGATAATTAAGCATACACACAGTTCAAAATAGCCTCAGCTGTTTCAATAGATATATTTTTATTATAGTCATAAAAGAACAAGATAGATAAGGAAAATTCGTGCTTCCTGGAATACTTTTCCATAGAAATCAAAACAGTGTTGGATTTGATTTCACACCCAATAACATACGTGATATTTGAAAGTACTTCTGTCCCCAAAAGTGCCTGCTCCTACCCCAGAACTTGTTGGTAATTACTAATACAGCCTGCTAATTTTTATAAATTCAATAACCGCTTTTAAAATGGCCTGCAACAATAAAGACATAATACCCCAAATATCTTGCAGGTGCTAATTTCAGCTATTTGTATTGACTTCCTTGAATTATTTCAAGTGTATCTTACTAGCTTGCTTTAATCTACAGAACTGACTAAATTCTCCTTAAAAAACAAACCCAATTTAATAATCCCAAAGCAAAGTTTGGCAAAAAAAAAAAAAAAATCTGTAAAGATATGAAATGTAAAAATTAAATAATTAGAAAAATACAAGTAATGCTTTGAATAGTTTAGTGGTTCAATACAAATAGGCCCCGGAGTATGGAGGAGCATGAAACTATGACACTAGTTTTTTCCTGTCTTGGCACTAAATTGCTGAGAGATCAAGGGCAAGTGTGTGAGCTCCAGTTTCCATATATATACACATATAGGTTGGTGGAAGTAGATGTTCTCTGAGATGCCCGTGTTCCAATAGTTTGTAATTCTATGATTGGATACCTTATTGATATGCATGCATTCATTCTTATATCTACCCAAGGGAGGCTGTCCACACACAGATTGCAAAGAGCTCCTAGTAGCCCTGCCTTGGCTTGCAGACAGTTACCTGAATACACAGTATTTACAGGGAGTTCCATGGAGGGAGATATTCTGGACTTCTTAGAAGTTATAGGTAAAGAATCCACAGGCTTTTATTTTTGTTTAAGTAAATGAAGTATTTCAAGGGTTGGTTGAGTAACTGATTTTCTTTTCTTGCTCGAGGTCCCCACATGCTTTGCATCTCATTATTGAGCAGATGGCCTGTTGAAAGTTGTCACTGACCACCACATACAGACACAAGTTTCCAAAGGTGTTGAGGGCAGCTAGAGGTTTAGAAACGATGTAAGCTTCATGGATCTGATTCTCAATGGAGCAGCTGATAGAAAGCAAGCGAGATTCAATCCGAATGACCCTCAAGATATGGAAGGGTAAAAAACATATATAAAACATGAGCAGTAACAGAATGGTTAACCTTCGAGCTTTCTGCTTAAAGCAGCTGTGGGTCCGAGGTCCTTGGGTTAAGGTGTAGATGATCGTTGTATAGCAAAGTGTCACTATCACCAAGGGAAGGCAGAAAGTGGTTGCAGTCAGAATTAGATTATACCATTTGATAGTAGTGACATCATCCGAACTGGGGAGGTCAAGACAGGCTGATCTATTGGTCCTGGTGGTTGATGTGATCAGGAAGGTGGTGGGAATGACGGCTGCCAGTGAAATGATCCACACCACAGCACAGGCCACCACTGCCCATCGAGTTTTGTGGATGGAAAAGCAGCTCATCGGGTGAATAATGACAACATAGCGGAAGATGCTGAAACAGGTGAGGAAGAGGATACTGCTGTACAGGTTGAAATGGAAGCTGAAGCGGATGAACTTGCACATGAAATCACCAAAGATCCAGTTTTCGCCACTGGCATAGTAGTGAATCAGGAAAGGGAAGCTGGTTAGGTACAGCAGGTCTGTGCAGGCCAGGTTCAGCATGATGACAGTGCTGCTCTTCCAGGGCCTCATTTTGAAAATGTAGGTGGAAATTGCTACTGCGTTCCCTGGGAAGCCCACAAGGAAGATGATGCTGTAAATAACAGGCAGGTAGTGCATCTTGAGTGGGATTTTTTCGTCAGTGCAATTTCCAAAAGCAGCTGCATAATTGGGGAAATCAGAAGCATTTGCTAAATCATCGAGTGGCTCACATTCGTGGTTGTCTCTTTTCATCTTGCACGAAAACAAGAGTGTGCAGTGCAGCAATACAAATCGAATGGGAAGTGAATTGCTGATAAAGGAAAATAGAAAACATTAATGGTAAAGCAATGAAGGCAATGATCTACTTTTAAATGAAGATTGCTCTAACATCCTAAATGTGCCACTTCTTGCTCTTAATCTCAAAAGTGACCCTGCGGAGACAAGATTGAATTTCTAAGAAAATGACTGTGAGGCAAGTTACTGAAGGCATCTAATACAAATATAAAACTTATACTACTGTGAGAATTAAAATGAAGGACTGGACAAAAAGACACATGTAGCTGTGGAAAAACAATGCGTCAAAGTTGTTTGGGCAAGTCACAAGGTATCACCGTTAGAAAGTTAACAAGGAGACCTACCATTAATCAAACACGATGCACATCACCATGTTACTTCTCAACCTTGCAGAATGCTGCAAAGTATTTCTTATTACCTCTATTTTACAGAACAGAGTAAGGCTGAGAGAGGACTTGGTACCACATCTAGTGGCTCAGCTGGGATCCAAACCCATGTCTGACTTAGAAGCCATTCTCTTTCTACTTTGTCTCTCTGTGCTGCCTTGCAATCTGTATTTGCTGACTTTCACCAGGATTATCCTAAATAACTGAGGGAACGGGAAGTGCGAAAACATGAAAAGACTAAATACTGTGAATTTTTAAAATGTAGATTTCATGCATTGCAATATTGCATGTGTGGTAGATTTAATTTTGAATTTCAGCTCTTCCAATTCATTTTAATAGGTAACACAATTTGTTTGTGTAGAGGTATATGTATGTGCTCGGGGAGGGAGGACATCAGTTAAAACTGGGAGGGGTGCAGTTTTAACTTTTTTCTTCCTGCTTATCAGCATTTTCTAAAGTTTTGACAGTGAATTTCTGCAATGAAAAAAGCAGGAAGATTATTTAAAAGAAGAGTTACTCATAATTACTTATAAATGTCCTGGAGGTACGAAATGAACAACACAGAGAGATGTATAAACCACTATCACAGTCTACTGGGGGAGGTGGATGCTGAAAATTATTTTAACAAGATATAATGCTACCTCCTGGAGCTGTCAGTATATATATTAAAAAATAGCAAGAAAAACACTTGGCACACTACTGGGCACATAGTAAGTGCTTAACAAACGTTAAGTAGTTGTTGGTCAGTAAGTTTGTGACAGGTGAATGATACAAGGCTGCTGAGATCTCAAAGAAAGGAAGCAAGAGCTACCTGCAGAATAAAAGAGGGGGCTACAGAAAGGTCGCTGAGGAGGGAACATTTAAGCTGAACTCAGCAAGAGGAAGGATTTTTCTAGCTGAAGAAGGGGGAAAGGTATTGTAGGCAAAGGGAATAGCATGTGCAAAGGCACTGAAATATGACAGAGCTTCTAAGCAGCTCAGCATAGTTGCCATGTTAGGAAGCATTAGGAAGATGAAACTGGAAAGAAAAAAACAGATAATAATAAAAATAATAGTGCCTCTTGTACACAAAGCACTACTCTAAGTGTTTTACATATATAAATTCATTTAATCCTCACAATAACTGGTGAGGTAGTACTGTGATCATTCCCATTTTACAGATGAGGAAACTGAGGCACATAGAAAGCAGTGACATGTTCAAGGTCATATTGCTAGTTAGTGGTGAGCCAGGATGCAGACTGGAGCAGTCTGGTTGCAGGACAGGGCTGCCTCTCATAACAAGTAGGCAAGATGGAAATCATAAGTGCCCTATAATAACAAAGATGAGTTAGGAATTTATCCCAGAAGAACTCAATAAATCAAACATTGTAACTGTGTGACCCAGAGCTAAAATGTTGATAAGAACATGTAATACCTACTTCTTTTGGTTGAGAGAGGATTTAACAATTTAAATAATTTAAACATAAAGCGTTTAGAAGGGTGCCTGGTCATGGTAAGCACTAGATCAGTGTCTGCCACCACCATACTTTTATCTGATGCTAAATCTACACTATCAAGCATTTCCTTTGAGTACTGCAGAGGTACATTTTAGACTGGCCCAGCTTAAATCAGAAATTAATAGAATCCTTCCCTGTTGACTGTCTTTGAATATACTCTTCCAGATCTCACTTAGGGTGCAGATCAAAATGCATTTACAGATTTATTACTTTTATTCTGTATGAATTAGAGAAAGAAGATGGACACGGAACTTGTCTCTGGGCAGCTGTTGGGATCCTTGCGGGGAGAGGCAGGTTCTCCCTGGGACCTTGTATTACCGATCAAAAGTGAATGCTCCTGTCTGTGTCAAGGTAGTTTACTCTGATTAGAAGCACTGTTCAGAAAACTATCACCTACACAGCCCTGGAGGTGATAGGAGTCAGGCACTGCCCACCAGCAGGGGTGCTCTGAGGCCAGAAAACCACAGTGGACAGCTTCTTTACTGGCCATACTCCTCCAACGGGGCCTGGACACAAAGAGCAAGCAGAAACTTAAGCTTGAGAGAAAATGCTCAAAATGGTCAGGGTCAAGGAGTCCCTAAAGTGGCACTTCCCTACTTTTTAGTATGTCAAGTGGCCACTAAGTTGCTCATGTTGTTTCTGGAGCAAAGACGTAAAGACGGTTTAGTGACACCTAAAAGAATTCTCCAGAATATTTCATTCTAATTGGGACTCGGCTCACAGAGAAGTGAGAGGGAGAAAAGGTGAGGGAATTCATATCCAAGCAGCTTGTCTGGCAACTCCTTAAAAGCAGAAACACAAGTCACCTCAAACCACAGGGGCCGACACACAGAAGGTGCTTAATAAACATTTGCTGAATACATTAAAGAACTATCGGTAACTCAGCAAAACTTGCCTTCTGCTGAAAGGCTAGTGAAGTAGCAGCTATTATCGGAAAAAAAAAAGAGAAAAAGCTTGGTTCTTTGATGACTTTTAAAGTAAGAAATGTCACTGCCAATTCCTGTCATTGCCAAATAAACCCCTGGCCATGTTATGGGGGCCATTTCAAACAGTAATCACATCAGGAAAAGACAAGTTGTAGGTAGAAACAACCACCTTATTGTTTTGAAAAACAACAATTCAACTGGAGATTTAATGAACACTGGCTAACCAGTTGTAAGGGCGGAGGGATTGACTAAGAAATTTAAGCTCTCTTCCATAAATCTCACCAAAAGTATGGTTTGAGTTTACAAAATATGGGCGATGTTAAGAACAGCACACGAAAACCGGTCTGGGCTGTGAGCACGGTAGTTCGAGGGAGTTTCTTGCCTCTCTCATCCTGGGGTCCTGTGCAATTGACCCCCATAACCCAGAGTGCCAGATGGTTACACAAATCATTGAGACTCAAAGGACATTAAAGAATAATGTGTCACAGCCCTGGATATATTTCTTATCTTTTACACAACAGTGGTTCTCTAAAATGAGGAGGTTACAGACCACCTGGAACTATGGGCTCTTTATATACTGGCAATAATGACATATTAAGCTTCAACATCATCAAATATACATGTGTGAACTCAACTAGGTGTCACATGACTAAAAGCAAGCACTAAAGGTTTAGGAAAATTTTATGAAGAAAAAAATTATCATCTTCACCTGTATATTTGTTTTTTCTCTTCAATCAGGAAGAGATTGCAATTGGGCCAGCTGCAGGATGCCAATGTTTGGGGAGCTCTCACCTTGGGGACCACTGTCCTAACACCAGCACGCCCGTGAACCTCACAGACTGGGGTTCCAAGATTCTGCCTCCTGTAAGGAAGGCAGGATCAGAAACAGTATCTATTAAAGCGGCAGCATAAACTACTTCACCTCTACAGAGTATTCCTGCCCATTTTGTTGGAACAACGAAAGTGGCATTAATGATGAAATGTCACTTTTCTAGGGTTTTCACTAGTTTTGCTGTAAACTTCCTACTCAACCACCTGTCCCCCTCTACCTGACCCCCTCCCCTCCCCTCCCCCAGCCCTGGGCTTCTCTGAGGGCTGTTCCTGAGCTAAGTTCTCAGCTGATTCTCGCCTCCTTTTCTCAAGCTGCCAATGGACTAGGGAGGTATAAACTTGGGACCTGGCATCTCTCAAGGGTCCGTGGAAACTCCCCCGCTGGGGCTGCTTTTGGTTCCCAGAAGACATTTGAATAGACCTTTCATTAGCCAGATTCGTCTTGGGTTCCTAGTCCACATATCTGAAAACTAATTTGCTCGCACACTGGTGGGAAGCGGACCGGTTCTTAACCCAGACACATATGTGATGGGTGAGTACTGTCCTCCCTGAGCCCTGAACGAATCCCCGTCCCCACCTTTTCTAGGTGCCTGGAAACTGTTCCCTCAATGCCCGATTTCAAAGGAGAACCTGCAACTCAGTTTACCTGAAGACCATGAAGACTTGCCGTGTGGATGGAGCCCAAAGCTGTGATTATAGCTGTTTGATTTGGGGGAGAATCAAATAAAGTCTATGGGGGCTCTCCTCAGACAAGTGCATGGAGGGAGACACAAAAATTTTATACACACTTTGAAGGTTTAGAGACAATCCCAAGCTAGTTCGCTAAATTCAAAGCAACAAAACAAAGCGAAACAAGACAAAAACAGGGGTAAACGTTTTGCTGGTTTTCGTGGGAGGTGAGAGGGTGGGGCAGGGTTGTTGGAAGTCGTTGGACTTGCCGACACCATGAAGTCCAGCACCACGCAGGTGAGGGCATCCCGGAGGGTGGAGAGCAGGGGACTCAGAGATGACTCTCTGCTTGTCCCCAAAGTGCCCCCCTGCCTGTGACCCCACGCTTGTAGTGCAAAAAGTATGAGACGAGATCGAGGGTCCGGAACTTCGCTCCGAGACAAATCTCTGGCTGTCCTAGGCTTTCTGTTCCCCAAAATGCTCCCGGCCCGTCCCTGCCCTCCTCCAGGATCCCGGAGCTCCTGCGGTCTCCCGGGGACGACGTGGGGAGGGGGCCCTGCTCCCTCCGCCCATCTGTCCTGCAGCAGGGACGTGAGTCCGCGGCGGCCCGCGTCCCCGCTCCCGGTCCCTCCTGCCCGCGGGGCCCCGCTCTCGGATCGCGCATCTCACCTGGCAGCCCGCGTGGCGGTCGCAGCCTGGCTGCTGCCGGGACAAAGGACCCGACCAAGCAGGGGCCGCGCACCGCCCCTGCCCCTCCCACCCCTCGCGGGTCCCCGCCCCGGGCAGACAGGCTGGCAGCATCCTCCGTCGCCCACTTTGGAGTCGACAAGGACAGCGGCTTCCTCTCCGGGGATGCCTGGACATCCTCCGTCCTGGCTGGAGCGAAACTGACCCAGGCGGGGTGTTTGCAGAAGTGCAGAAACAACCTGCAGGAGACGCCTCGCCCCAGCAGGGCTGCAGCCCCATGGTCCAGGTCCAGAAATGTCACCTGCCCACAGTCCAGGCTTCTTAGTTAGCAGGGGGTGGAAGAGATGTACTGAAGCATTGGGTTTTCACTGTATCCAGTTACAGCCCTGCCCTTCACCGCTTAGCAAGGTGGTTTAAAAGCAGTTTCTATCGGTATGCGAAGAGCATTTGTCTGGATCTCCAGATCTTGGACCTGAGCCTTTTGCCACTTGACTTGGGAGTGGCCTCTTCCTTTCTCTGAAACTCAGCCACATCATCTGAGATAACAGGACTCCACCCAACCAACTCCAAGGTCTCTTTCAGCATCAAAGATGAGTTCTCTGTATCACCTACGGGGAAAGAGCAGAGGACGCCCCTTCCACCGTGACCGGGCATTGAATGCCCCTTCTGTGCTTCCATGTTGACCTGCATTAAACAGCCTTGAGCCCATCCTCTGAGGCCAACCAGCAGGAGCAGGAAAGTCAAGCCAGGTATCCCAGCCCTGGTGAGTGGATTCTGCCCTAGCTGATAGTTGGAATAACATTATAATAGATATCTTCATTATTATACTTATAATTATTTTCTGAGTACCAGCCTTGCCAGGGAAATATTTTGCATTAGGAGAAACATTTCAATATTTTAAATCACTTCTTCAGTTCATCATTTGGAAATATTTGACTGTATTTTGTTCCAATTCATACTTTCATTCATCAAACGTTTGTTGTTTGATCGTTCTGTGTCAGCACTGAAGAAATGAAGAAGAATACGTAATCTCTGCCTTCCAGAAACTCGTGTCCTATAGAAAATTAAGAGATAAATTTAAAATGTGATTAGGGTTTGCCACTGGTAAATAAGGGTGCCATAAGAGCATGTAATCCAAAAGCAGGGGAGACAGAGAGAGAGAGAGGTCAGAAAAGCCTCTCTGGAGTAAAAGACATTTGAGCACTTTTCCATGGTTAGCAGCAGGATTTCCAGTAAAAAGGGAAATGGCTTTAAGAGTTTAATAACAAGTATTGGGTCCTAGAATTTTAGACATGGAAGGGACCTCACTTTCTGCCAAACCTTTGTAAAAGGGCTAGTTCCTCTTCCTCTAAATCAATGCTGTCCACTAGAAATATAATAAGAGACATATATATGATTTTAAATTTTGTACCAGCCATGTTAAAAAAAAAAAAAGAAGCAGGTGAAATAAATTTTTATAATATGTTTTCTTTAACCCCATATTCCAAAAATATCCAGTCCTGGGAATGCAAAATGGTGCAGGTGCTATGGAAAACAGTATAATGGTTCCTCTAAAAATTAAAAATAGAAGCAGAACATTATCCAGCAATTCTGCTTCTGGGTATATACCCAAAGGAATCGAAAAGGTTCAAAGAAGTTAAGTGTACACCCATGTTCATAGCAGCATTATTCACAATGGCCAAAAAAAGCAACCCTATTGTTTATCAATGAATGAATAAAGAAAATGTGATACACACATACAATGGAATATAATCCAGCCTTAAAAAGGAAGGAAATTCTGGGCCGGCCCGGTGGCGCACTGCTACAGCGCGCCACTTGGGAGTGCAGCAACGCTCCCGCCGAGAGTTTGGATCCCACATACAGACCGGTTCCCGCTCACTAGCTGAGCGAGGTGAGGGAGCAGCGCCGAGGGTTGCAATCCCATTGCCAGTCCCGGTCCGGTACGGGCGCGACACTGACGATTGCGATCCGTTGCCGGACACGAAAAAAGACAAAAAGGAAAAAAAAAAAAAGGAAGGAAATTCTGACACATGGATGAACCTTGAGGACATCATGCTAAACAAAATAAGCCAGTCACAAAAGGACAAATATTGTATGATTCTACTTAAAAGAGGTACCTAGAGTAGCATTATTATTATACATTATTCTTTATTTCCTCGAATTCATGGAGACAAAAAGTAGAATGGTGGGGAGTATGGGGAGCTATTTGTTAATAGGCATGGAGTTTCAGTTTTGCAAGATGAAAGAGTTCTGTGTATGGATAGTTGACAGTTGTACAATGTGAACGTTAATGCCACTGAACTGTATATACTTTAATACAGTTAAGATAGGAAATTTTATGTTGTGTGCATTTCACCACAATTAAGAAAAAATTTCTTTTTTAAAAAAAAAATCCAGGCCTATGGTTTCACTTTACAACAGAGGACACTGAAAATTAGAGAGGTGCAGGTGACAAGCCTGAGGTCAGGGCAAGGGGCCTGTGTAAAACAAGGGCACCAGGCCCTCTGTTCCTGCTACTCCACTCTGGGGGTGGCTGGGCCTCATGACTGAAGCCACTGCTTGATCAGACAGCAATGCACTGTAATCCAATACTCTAAATCGGTTCCATCAACAAGATGGAATTTTCACTGAAACTCAAAATTCTCACCTATATAATAGTGTTTTGCAGGAAAAAAAAACAAAAAACAAACCCCCCCACACTAACCAACATAGTCTTAGTCTACATATAAAGAGAATGATATAATTTATATATCTTTAAAACAATGTGCATTAGAAAATGCTATCACTATTTTAGGCTATATATTAAGCTTCAAATTTAGGACCTTGGGGTTGTCTTTTAACAACCATAAGTCAAAGACTTATGTGAGAGTAAAATTCAACTTCTATTAAAAATTGGTCTCTTGCCCAGATTCAGAAATGCACTTTTTTCTTTAAAATGAGCACCCAGTAGAACAGGATTCCAGCACTTAAATTCGCAGCTACTTGAGCAACACAGGTGCCACCTGTCATGTGCTGCAATTGCTCCTTTGAAGCAGGGGATGGGGGCTTATCTCCATAATAATTGAGAGACTCAAACCCTCTCTAATTAGGAAGCACTGACATCTTATAACCTCCTACCCCAAAAAGCCCTGTGAAGCTCTGCATAGAAGGCAGAGTCAAGTATCATTCTCCAAAGAGCCATTAATTATTAAGTTAGGAGTTGGCAGGGGGGAAGAAGAAGGGAGTAACATATTAGAAATAATCTTAGTTCTCATTCAGAGGTTCATGGAGAAAGGGACAAATAGTTGGGGACAATGTTGACCATTCTGTTTCTCTCTCCCCCAGTTGTTGTTACCCAAACTTTAGATGATCATGTTTCCAGACAATGTTCCAACTATGGCTTATGATTACCAACTGCTGTTGGCCATGTCAGACTTTTTTGTAACTTTGTCCACAGCACGATATGTTTGCTATAATAGCACTATTCTAGTGAGATGAATTGTCTTGATTTTTTAAAAAATGCTTAACTTGTTTTCCAATGCCTTTAAAATGGATTGCTTAGTGAAGATGTACTGATTAAATAAAGCAAGTTTTTGATGTGCACTCTATTAGGAAACAAATTCAGCTATTGGGATGCCTTGCAAATTCCTACAATATTTCTTTGATGAGAAGGAAGACTTTATGGTACTGTGGAGGGAGAAAATACCAGAACTTTGAGGCCTGAAATTTAGTTTCAAAAGCAACTCATTTAGCTGGGAAAGGATATTCCCTTTCTAGGAACCCTTGAGTTCACCTAAGAAAAGTTGTGGTTGGACAAATAGCTCTCTAAGGCCAGTTTCAGATTAAAGGGATCTTACTTGTAAAAATGTAAAAGAAGCTTAAAGCTTTTAGCTTTCAAAAAGCAAGTATATTTCTGTGCCAATGTTAGTCATCTTCTATGCCTCCATATGAATATTATTTGATTAGTTTTAAATGTTTTCAAAATGATATGTCATTGTGGACACTTCTTTGAGAAGAGTGGGGAATTTAGAAAACCATTGGGAAAAAGATTGCTTAGACTGTCCATCTCTAGATCCAGTTCCAGTGTAATTAGGGAGGTGGTGTTAGGGTCTCCTAGATGTGAATAAAGAGCTAAGCAGTTTTAGAACTAGACAGGATGGCCGCAGCTAAGGATGGGATTTGATTGCCAGTCTGCTCAGTAAGCGTTCCATTGTGAAGTATGGAAGCAGGGAGACGAAAAGAAATGTGGTTTAGAAAAGAGGAATAGAAAAGGCCAGAGAACAGAGAAATCCATCATCAAGAAATTAAGCTCTTTGCCTTTGCTTGTGCAAGTTCCCTACTTGGACTATTCTTTCCACCCCACCTTTATGATTGGAATCTTATAATATCCTTAAGGTTTAATAAAATGTGAGTACGTATTAATCCATTTCTGTTGCTTATAACAAAATACACAGAACTGGGTAATTTGTAAGAAAACGAAATTTATTGCTTACAGTTTCAGAGGCTAGGAAGTCCAAAGTCCAGGGAATACATCTGGTGAGGGTCTTGGTGGTGGCAAGTGTGACCCAGGGGTCTCACATGGCAGAAAATGGTGGAGCAGAGAGAGGCTAACTTCTCATGTGCTCTTCTTTTAAAGCCCTCAGAACCACGCCCATGACCACCATTTATAACCCATTCACTACAGCACCATCCTACAATCTAATAACCTCTTCAAGGCCCCACCTTTTAGTTACCATAATAGGATTTCCCACCTTCAACAGTTTACAGTGGGAATTAAGCTTCTAATATATGAACTTTGGGGACATAATTCAATCAATTCACAGCAGAGTACATTTGCCCAGAAATACTAATAAACTGTTTAATAATTTTAAAGACTACAATATTTTTATAAATTTGAGTCTTGCCTATTCAATAAGACTGTCTACGTCTCAAGGGAGAGCAGATTATATTCTCCTCTTTGGATGTTACACAGTACCTTAAATTGGTTCATAATAGGCAATAATAATTGTCTATTATTATTGGACAATTATTACTAGAACTATAAATCTGATTTCTTATTTGATCTTAATTAATA